TGAATGAACGATTGAATGAACGATTGAATGAACGATTGAATGAACGATTGAATGAACGATTGAATGAACGATTGAATGAACGATTGAATGAACGATTGAACGAACGATTGAACGAATAAATACATAAACGCAGTGCTTAGCTTTTTTTCTCCCTCCTTCAAGTATAAGCGTGTATATTTTTTTTTGTAACAGGATCATTTTTTTTTCTCAAATAATTTTCCTCTGAGTGAAATCCAATTCGATCCTTTCTTTTTCACATTCTGTTTATGATAACATTATTTTATGTTTTTGACATCCTGAAAATTGCATATGCATTACAATACATTTGCAATTTAATGCACACAGTACAACAATATATACACTACGTAACATAATGTGTTTATATTATAAGCGTGCTTGTGTTTATGTAATCATGCATGTGACAAACAGCCAGGAGTAGTGCCTACACGGCTACCAGAACCTGCGACATATATTTTTGTATGACTATATTATTGTTGTGATCACTTACCTTCGGTACTTGTTTCACACATCTTTCGTTATGTTTCGTGTATGTTTTGTGTATGTTTCGTATATTTTTCCTACATTTTTCGTATATTTTCCCTACATTTTTCGTATATTCTTCCTACATTTTTGGTATATTTTTCCAACATTTTTGGTATATTTTTCCTACATCTTTCACATATTTTTGGTACATTTTTGGCACGTTTTTTCGTACATTTGGGCGCCTTCTTTGTACATTTTGGCACCCCTTTTGTATGTTTCCTACACGTTTTTCGTACAATTTTGGCCCCTTCTTTGTACATTTTGGAACCTTTTTTGTACGTTTCCTACACGTTTTTCGTACAATTTTGGCCCCTTCTTTGTACATTTTGGAACCTTTTTTGTACGTTTTGGCCCTTTCTTTGTATATTTTGGCCCTTTCTTTGTATATTTTGGCCATTTCCTTGTATATTTTGGCCCTTACTTTGTACATTTTGTCAACTTTGTATATTTCTGGCACCCTTTTTGTACATTGGCACCTTTGTACATTTTGACACCCTTTTTGTACAAGATTGGCATATTTTTCCTGCATTTTTGGCATAAATTTTACGCACTTTTTGCACATTTCCCTATATTTTTAGTGTCTCTTTCGTACACTTTGGCTTTATTCCCCCCCCATCTCTCCAGCCACCGCCATTACATATACACTGGTAACATACACCTGTGTATACGAGCTGCACATGATGTGTCAACATACAAGGTACATATAAATATGTGACTTTGTTTGGGCCACTGGGAGTTCAATGCGAAATTGACTTGTATTGCACTCGCGAGGCGAGCAGACAGGAGCAAAAAGAGAAAAGTGGAACGGGAAAAGCCGAGGGCGAAGAAGACGGAGCAGCCTCTTTTGGCGCGCCCCTGTACACCGCTTGAGTGTGCGCTATTAGGGACAAAGGCAGAAAGGAGCAAAAAAAAGCACATTTTTTTTTCTTTTTTTTTTCACACTATAAAGTGAAATATCATTACAACTCCCCTTGTAAGTGTATTATTGAGTACATAATACTATATTTTATTGTTTTATTTTTTTTGGCATTTAACACCCACGAATTGCATGCAGACTGAGGAAGTGTCCCTCTTTACATCAGCTGTTAACCGTAAAGTTCAAAAATTAAAAAATTGAACTTTTTTTTTGGTAATCAAGCTTCTTAGAAGTTTGGACGACTGTGTGCGTCTTGGTCCTTCACCTGTTACCACCTGGCATTACCTATCTGTCTGTCTATTTGTCTATCTATCTGTCTGTTTTTTTTTTTATTTTTTTTTTCGTTTTTTTGGCATGAGCAGGTAATAACTGTCTCTTCAAATGAGATGCGTGAAATAAAATTTCACAAAACCGAAGCGCATTAGGAAAAAAAAAATACATGCATTTAAAGTTACATAAATATACATATGCACATGTGTGTATACAAACGCGCGTGAATAGAGAGAACAAAATATGCAGTTTGTGAAACATCCCCTGAGAGAACAAGAACATTTTCTCGCATATTCGCATGTTGCTGTACATGCTGCTTTGCGTTCTTTTAATAGACAGCAAAAGTGTCTTATAGACAAGCATTAATAGCCGATTTGAGCTATTTTTTTTTCTAGCTGTAGATTTAATTTCTTTTTTTTTTTTTTTTTGTACGTTTTTATGTAGTATAGTCATTTTTCGCGCGCTACATTTATGGAAGAGAAAAATAGCAAGTTGTAATGCTTTGCCTATTATATAGCACTCATAATTTATAATTTTTTTTTTTTCCCTTCTTTCTTTCCTTACATGTGTGAATTATGGTGAGTTTCAAACAAACATCGTGTTGTTCACTAATGTATTGGACCTTTTCCCTTTGCTTATTATAGTGAAAAGTTACATAAAGATATTGGCAACTTTAACGATTGCGTATTTTGTATAACTCTAAGTACAGTTATATAAAGGATGCCGTTTATTTAAGTGCGCAGCTCACATGTGTGCAGGGCACGTATATGTGATTATATGTATGTATATTCATATGAATGTCTACCTTTGTGTGCCTTCATTCTATTTGTGCCCCTCGATTCCATTTGTGGCCCTTTTTTTGTATTTACACGTATTACCTACATAGCCGCTCCCTCCCCGGCGATATTTTTATGTACCTTTGTTTATATACCTTTGTGGTCACCGCATGTATGTATTGAAAAAAGGCGGGAAAAAAAAGACACGCCCATTAGTCAATCCATCCACCATTCATCATACGAATCACTCATCCCTTGGCTTTACTTTCCCATTTAAGTCCCCTTAAGGGGTTTTATCTATGATTTTTACACATACACGTTTTTTATTATTAAATTTTAAGATATAACACGTTGTATGCTTTTATTTTTTCTTTACACGTTTTACTTTAACTTTTTACCTTTTATTTTTTAACTTTAATTTTTTTTTTTTTTTTACGTTGTCCATCACCCGTATTTCCATCAAAGGATCCAGTCCTGCCTCTTTTGTGCTGATTGATATCACATTTATTTTTTTACGAAATTCATAAAAGGGAGAAAAAAAAAATGCATTTATGCAATTTATAAAGCATTTTTTTTGTGGCTAATCGCTTTTATTTATTTACTTTCCTGTCCTGTCTTTTGTCATCTTTATGATGCCATATGTCATGCAACACTTGGCTCTTTCTGCAGTTACATATATGCACGAGCATGGGCCCTGCATGATTTTCACATTTCGAGCAAGCATTTTTTTTCGAATAGCTGAGTATTTCCTTCCCTTGTTTATAAGAGGGTATCGTCCAAATAAGCGCACATTTTGAACAATTTCGCATGCGTGCTTTGTGTTTATGATGCTTTGAGTTGCGTAAGGTATATTATTTTTTTTAAATTAAAAGAGGTGGCACGTATGCTTCCTTTTCACTACGCCGCCTTAATGCGCCGTTTAACGATGCCTCGCAGGAAATCTAGCTGATAGCATCTGACGCAGTTTATGTGGCGTAACCCGTTACCCGCATGCACGAATTTTAATTGACTACACATTTATACCTACATCTTCCCATGCAGACACGCGGTGCGCACGACTGAGTATTTTTGTAAACCACTCGTCGTACATATAGACGGGTCAGTAACGCTTAAATTAAAAAAAAGAAAGAGCACAGACCTGAATCGGCGCCTGAACACATGCATGTAACCAAATCGAAAATACGCAAAAGAAATAACCACATACATGTTGCACATATATACGCACATACTTACCTACATATTCAGCTTGCCCCTGCATGCGTAGTACAACCAATTTTGTATTTCAGCGCAGAAAAATTTCGGTTTTATTCATGATTTTTTTTTTTCCTTTTTCACAAATATTCTCCCGTGCTAACCATTAAACGGGAAATCCTCACAATAATGTACGTGAAGAGCATATCATAACTTGCATTATTGAGTTTATTAAGTCATGCATTTATCAGATTTGTCGTGACTGCGAATTCTTTAACAGGTGGAATGCCCTGTCGCTGAAAAAGTGTGATTGAAGCATACGTTGGTGCAACATAAATGTATAACACTATTCGGCGGCATGCACGTTCACCTATTCATTTATTTACATATTTATTCACTTATTTTTTCACTAATTTGTCGCATGATCGCCTATCATAATTACCGAATAGATGAACAACCCACGCCCAAGTGTGGAGCTCCATTTTTACGTGTTAGAAGGTCACACCCGTTTATACACCGCGTAAATAATAAAGTACATCAGCGACAACAAATAAGTAAAACGTGAACCCCTTCCCTATTTGTGCAACAGCATAATTTATTTGTCCCTCTCCATGTGCGTCTTTGCAAAGTACAGGACTGAGAAGGATATATGCTAGGGAGAAAGTTTTGTCTGCACTTTTTTTTTTTTTTTCACTGATTTTTGAAAAATATAAGAATCATTTGTGCAGAAATTAGCCGTCAAATTCACATAACCTGTATGCGCATGTATGATTCAGGTTTGAACATGGACGTAAGTACAGACTTTCCTATACACATGCTGTTGTGTGCGTAGTTACACATCTACGTTTCGAATCCCCTTGTCCCTCGAAGATATCTCTTCTGTAGCGTTTTGCTCCTTCAGTGAGCATTAACATTTTGCTCAGAATAGACTAGAAAAAGATATGCTAAATGTGCCCCATTTTTTTTTTATATTTCAGTTTTTTTTTTTTTTTTCACCCTTCATAAGACGTTTGGTGTAAAAAGCATACAGAAGAGCAGCTCTCATGTTGCCATCCGCCTCTGCGCGAATTACCCCGCTTTGCGCATATCTTATATGTACATCATCTCCGTGTTGTGCAGCTCCTGCGTGAGACGGAAGAGTTCGGTGCTGCAGGAACCCAGCAACGGTTTGTAAAGGCCCCTAATAAGCCGCTAATTACACGTTGCAGTTTGGGAAAGGGCCCGTTCTGAAAACCTTTAATGACGTATGCGTATGTACCTGCTTGTATGCTTGCATGTCTGTTTATATTTATATTTTGTGCCAACCCATTTTCGCACCTTCGTGTGTGCGCGCGGTCCGCCTAGCGAATCAGCCCTTCCCACGCTGTGTTGCATGTAAGCCGGATGACGCGATTGCAGCCTTTGTGAGACACGCACACGGACATGTAAATGTCACAGTTTAAATTGCAATGATGCAACCTTTTATAGTCTACAGTAGTTATAACATTCCATCCATACTCCCAAGAAAAAAAAAAAAAAAATCTGAAGAAATTACCAAAAAGCACTTGGCGTATATCTCTAAACGGGCACTTACATTTGAGACTTTATGTCAGAACATATAGTTAAGTAGCATTCCTCAGGATATACTTACCTTTCTTGGCCCCTTATCCATTTCGTTTGCCCAGCAAATTGGGGATAAAAGACATTACGTCGGAGATACTTCACCACGACGTATCTGTGGCAAAAAGTTTATTTGCGTTCGGTGTCTTTGTTTATATACGTACGCGACTGTACGTGAGAGTGGAGGGTAGCAATCGAAAGAGTGCATACATAGCTGCGTAACTGAGGAATTGCCTAACTACGCAATTGCCTAAGTGCACAACTGCGCCAGAGGGAATGCGTGCACACCGCCCATCGTAGCCCACCGTGCTTCCACCCTAATTATATACACCAAAGAGTGCGACGTGAATTTTCGCACACATCTGCCCGTATGCCCCACTCTAACAGAGAAAAGTTTGAAATGTGCCAAGTGTATTAAAATTGTCAATCCATAAGTGCTTATCTATAGCCGAATGACATACTTTGAAGTATTCGTTTTGTCAAAATATTGTGAAGAGTTACTTTCTCTTTGCGTTACAGGAACCATTATGTTCCTTCCCTCGGTGCCCATTTCGCATTGCGGCCCCGTTTCATTTTTACATAACGTTTACTTTGTTTTGCAAGCATCTTTATGTGCACTTATCTGTACCCCCATTTGTGTCTCAGCGAATTCCGCATAAATCGGGAATAACACTTTTTGCTTCTTTCTTTCCTCTTTTTTTTTTTTTCGCGTGCGTATGGCCTAGATATGTACGTACACATACATAGCCGTGGCACGTTTAGCAGTTATGCCTAGTTAGAAAAAAAAAAAAAAAGTAAAAGAAGTGGCGTTCTTATTTTAGAGTCAAATTGCCCAATGTAAAAATCTATATAGCTAATATTTCTTTTGTGGCTCGTTACCCGTTTGTTTATTTTGGAAGGCACCTTTTCCCGTGGCGCGTAACTGCCAAACGAGGCAGCTTGTTAGACGACATGGGCTAACGCGTGTATTTGCGAGTGTGTATGTTTGTGTGAACATTTAAGCACTCGCGTATGCGAACGTTTTTGTTTCCTTATGCGAGCATTTGTCCTCGCGTATGCGAACGCTTCTGTTTGCCTATGCAAAGGTTTCTGTTTGCTTATGCGAACGTTTCCGTTTCCTTATGTGTATATTTATATGCATATGTTTACACATGTAAGTATTTACACATGTATGTATTTGCATATGTACGTGTTTACATATGTATGTGTTTTTTTTTTTTTCTTCTTCTTCTTTCCCCCCATGTACACAATTTTGCCGCGCGCAAGAATATACTTATCAGCTTTAATTGTGGGATTTTCCTCCTTCCCCCCCCCGTTTCTTTGTACCTACATCATTGTATTCTCCTTTTGTTTCACGTAAAGTAATTCCTTCTCGTCCCTTTTTTCTTTCATCTCTATACGTGCGTATACATGTACTATACGTACCTTTTTTTAATTGCGCCCAAGTGTACACCATTCTTGTTTTGAAGGACACCACTCATCTGTGGCACGTTACGAGTCTGCATTTCCCCATGTGTGAACCGTAACAGTGTGCATACATGTATGCAACTGTCACGGCGCATCTACGTGTGATAGCTATTTTCCCGTTGTACGGTGAAAAGGCTCTATCTTTGCTTTACATAAACTTCTAGTTGCGTTTTTCTTGAGATTTTCCACCCCCTTTGACATGTAATGATTTCTTTTTTTATTTATTCTAATTAATTTAAGAAGTAGATCCGTTTCACTCGCTTCGGTGAGCGGTTCCTCGCCTTTACCGTCATCCTCATCTTCGTTACTTCCCCCTCTTTTAAATACCCAGCGTGTAAATTGATTTTACCGTCGCTTTAATATTATGTATTTCTCATTTTTTTGATTCGGATGCACTCCATGTTGTATCTCCCTATTACGACAACATGTGTCTACTCCACCCATTGGCAAGGAGTGGAAGCCTTATCCGTATTGTTAGTGTTCCGTAGAAATGTATTCATATTGAGATCAATGACATCCTTTTCACATATTTTACTTTTTTCTTTTTTGGGGGAGGATTATTTATATGAACAAATGTAGTTGTATAATTTACGTGTCTAATCTTGGGGCAGCCATAAATTCGATGTACCTCCCAATGCGTGGGTTGTTTTTTTTATTTCTTTTTTCCCCCTTTAATGGCTTCGCTGGTACGAAGCATATTTACTTTACGCATAAATTTTTGTTAATTTTAGATTTTTTTTCATTTACACCACACCGAGGGATTCCCATCTCAGAGGAGAGCAAAGCGAAAGAAAAAAAAAATAGCCACGTGTGTATAGATATATATATACACTTACACACGTGCGTACCGCCTTGGAAGAAGGTCCCCTTCGGTGGAAAGGCCACTGCGAAGGAACAGCCCATTAGCCCACCTTTTCGAAACGGAGAGAAAAATGCAGACCAACGCGGAAATTTCAGGCATGAAGGAGAATTGCGGCGGAGAGCAACACTTGGAAGGGAACTACAAAGTCTGCAAGGCGACTAATGGCATATATAACAACGAAATGAATCATTACGATGGACATTACGAGGAAAATTACGATGTACATTACGATGAAAATTTCGATAGACATTACGATGAAAATTTCGATAGACATTACGCTGGACATTATGAGGAAAATTGTGAGGAAAATTACAAAGAAAATTACGGGGAAAATTACGAACAACAATACGATGAACAGTACGATGAGCAATACGAAGAACATTACCTAAGCGTGAGAGAAGAAAATGACAACCCCAGGAATCTAACACAGGAATCGAACCACTCGTCAGACGAAAATTATTACCCAAACAGTTTGAACGAAATGAATAACTATAACTCTGCCTTGTTAGCGGATAAAGATAACCATGAAAATTCTACCAAGAATGAGTATGAAATGGACACCTTAGACAATTACGTATTAGCGAACGGAACGGATAGCTATGGAGCAAAACCGTACGACTGTGTCGTCACAGAAAACGGTAAGAGTGTCGTCAGTATGAATGGGACTGTAACGAATCAGAGCAAATTGATGACCCCCAAAAATTTCGGCTACGGAGTAAGTATAGGGAATAGCTCCTTGGGAAGCGTTGGAATGGGCCAAATGGGCGATACCAATCATGCCGGTTTCATCAACGGAGTGAGCCCCATGGAAACGATGAGCTTTATCGGTAATATGGGCGTTGTGAACGGGATGAGCGGGCTAAACGGTATGCACAGAATGAGCTGCATCAGCGGAGAAAACGAGGCCAACGACGGAGGCAAACTTGGAGGCGCCCAAGCAACGAACAACTTCGCCCAGAATGAAAATCCGAACTTTATGAACAACCACTTTTTAAGTAAGTCCAAAATGTACAGCGGGGAAAGTAACCATATGGATGATCCAAATGTCGAGGGGGGTCATATGGTATCCATGAATGGACACATGAGTGGACACATGAATAGTAACAGCGCGAATGGGATCATCAGCACGAACTTTCAAACCTACGCACCGATGTATTATGAAACGAATACAGCTAGCCAGGATAACATGAATAGCAATCCCTACGATGGGGACGGAAATTATTTGACAAACTACGCAAGAGACGATATGGCCATGCGAGATGGACCGCGAAACGAATCGTTCAAGGAGAATGAAGAAGAAATTATGAATAACTCCGTGGATGATTATTACGAGAAAGGCAATGAGCAGCATGGGTATCTGCACCAAAGCCAGGAGGGCACTCCGGGGGAGAGCTACCTGCCCTATAACACCGCGTCTTATGGATACAGCGACGCGCGGGGCAACAATTTCAGCAACAGCAGCAGAAACAGCGGCAGCAACAACGGAAATAACAACCGCAGTAATAACAACTATGCCGTCTCTCCATACATGAATAATGCCGATGGTGGATATATTGACGCTAACGGTGGCAGCTATGCATACGAAGTAGATGCCAACAACGGGCTCTACATGAACGGATACAATGGGAACTTGTGTGACACGTACGTCAATGTCATGAACGGCATGGGAAGCAGCGTTATCCGTGGAAACTTCAACGGTAGCCACTCGAACGGAATC